ATTGGCCTGTGCACCGGAGGGTCTCAGATTCGATTTCCGGTCAAGGGCACATACCTGGGTTGCAGGTTTGATCCCCAGCCCTGGTTGAGGTGCGTGTGGGAGGCAACCAATAGATGTGTCTCTCTCACCTGGATGTTTCTCTCTCTCTTCCACTCCCTCTCTCCCTTCCACTCTAAAAAAAAAAATCAATGGAAAAATATCTTGAGTGAAGATTAACAGAAAAAAAAAGCATGAGCTTCCACTCTAAAAAAAAAAATCAATGGAAAAAATATCTTGAGTGAAGATTAACAGAAAAAAGAAGCATGAACAAGCTTGATGATCATTATCTGTGATAATCCAGAAAATAATTAATAACAAGAGAAAATAAAATGAAGAATAGAAACTTTGGGAGATTAAAATTTTTGTCTCCTCTGCCTTCCATATTTTATAATGTGCTTATATGTAGCACTAAAAGAACTTAAATTTACTTTCAAACTCCATCAAAGGATTTCTGGAAAACTTGTTTGACTTTGTGAGTAGCAAGTCCAGCTGGGGTGGAGGTGTGTGTGGGGGAGGGGTCATACCACAATCTCCAACTAAGCACTGTATGTGTTTTCTGTGGCTGACAGATGTTCCAAACCCGTTCCCTCAGAGGTCATCTTATTTCTTATCTTATCTCTACTGCTTTGGACCTTTATTTCAGGCTGCCTAAATCCATTGTCCAGTTTACTAAGAGCCTTTTGGTTGTAAAACGTGTCAATTGTAAATAGGATGAGAGTGTATACATAGAACTTTTTTGAAAAGACAGTTGATAAAGGGAAATGTTATAGGTTGAATTGTGTACCTCAAAAGATATGTTGAAGTCCTAACTCCTTACCGCCTCCCCCTCCTGCACTCCCCACACCTGCCAACTGGCAAATGTGATCTTATTTGGAAATAGGGTCTTTGCAGATGTAATCAAGTTACAATGAGGTCATACTAGATTGGCCTGGGCCCTAATCCAATAACTGATGGCCTTATAAGAACAGGGATTTGGGCACAGACACCCAGAGGAGAAGGCCATTTAAAAACCTAAGCAGACATCGGAGTGATACATCTATAGTAAAGGATTGCAAGGACTGCCGGCAACCACCAGAAGTTAGAATGGGCAAAGGAGGACTCTTCCCTGGAGCCCTCAGGGAGAGGGGGGCCCCGCCGACACCCTGATTTCAGACTTCCAGCCTCCAGAACTGTGCCAAAAGACATTGCTCTTGTTTTAAACCACCCAGTTTTCAGTACTTTGTTATGGCAACCCTAGGAAACTAATATAGGAGATTTTGATTATTATTTGAAAACATCAAGTCATGCTCTAACAGAATGTGGACCTTTCCTAGTCAGGAAGTATGGACATTTTAACAAGAGAGTGGTTGAAACAGTGACTTTGTTGACTCTACCATCTTGTGTGAAAATGCTAACAGTATCTTCACTAGTCACACTGTCTCCAGTCTCGGCTCAACTAATCTAGTCACACTGCAGCCAGAGTGAGCTTTCTAGAATCTAATCATATCACCCACCTGCTTAAAACCTTCAGTGGTCTCCCCCCCCCCACTCCCCCATTGCTCCCACAGTAATACCCACACTTTCAAGTGGTTTCTCTCCCCACTTACCTATCACAATTTCCCACCTCACACTGCTCTTCACTCTCTGCATGGAACGTACTTCTTTCCTTTGGCCTCATTGCTTGGCCAACTCCTATTTATCCCTATGTAGATGCCCTTTCCTGCTTACTTGTCCTCCCACAGTCTGCCATAATTTCCCTGGCACAGCTCTGATGTCCATCTTATTGTACCTGCCTGTGTTCTTTCCTGTATCACCCTATGACCTTGCTACTCAAAGTGATGTCATAGACCAAAAACATTAGCTTTACCAGAGTTTGTTTAAGAAGCAGAATTGCAAGACCAGCCAGCTCTCAGCATCAGATGTGCATTTTAACAGGGTGGCCTTGTGCACATTGAATTTGTGGGGTACTGATCTCTTCAATGCAGCTTCTATGGGAGAGGGAACACTTGTCTCCTGAGAGCCTACCCCAATGTCTGTCTTAAAGAGAGATTTAACTGATCAATGTATGAGGCTGATACCATGTTAACACCCATGCTCTACAGGGAAAAACAACACAACAAAAAGTTCTCTTTTATCAGAATAAACAGACTCAGGTTTACAGCCAATCTTCACAGGCTTCCTTAAAATCCCCCCCTTATTCATCTCTCGTATCTTCTTCCTGTCAAATCCCATTTCTGCAGGAAATATATGACTATTCTATTACTAATCAAGTCTGCTATTTTCTTTTTCAGTATATTTTTTTAACACTGAAAATGACAACACAGGCATGGCTGGATTTGTACTGTCATTTTTTAATTTGGTCCATGAAGACTGCTATCTGGTAGTAGTTAAAAAATTGCCATCCTCACCAGTCCGTGTGTGTGTGTGTGTGTGTGTGTGTGTGTGTGTGTGTGTGTGTGTGTATTATTTAAATATTTATTGATTTCAGGGAGGAAGGAAGAGGGAGGGAGAGAGAGATAGAAACATCAATGATGAGAGAGAATCATTGATCGGCTGCCGCCCGCAACCCAGGAAAGTGCCCTTGACTGGAATCGAACCCAGGAACCTTCAGTCCGAAGGGCAACGCTCTATCCACTGAGCAAACCAGTTAGGGCTGTGTGTGTTTTTAAACAGATAAGAGGGGATTCCAGAAAAGTAGACAGTTAAGAAAGCCCTTCACACTCAGCTTCGAATTTCCTTAGTAGAATGTGAGATCTGAAAGAGTTTGCAAACTGTCTCAAATCCAACACCATAAAAAGTCCTCCGTAAACAGCTGATTCTGACCAATCTCTGAAGCCCACCCCCCACTTGCTCCTCTTTTTTCTCTCCAACAAGTTGAATTTGCAATTCTCTAAAAGGCACAAAGTTGCCTGAGGTTTGTATGGGTCACGTGACCAACAGCCTTTTATCATGATAATAGTGGAGGACAGGATTGACACACCCTTTGTACATAAACAGGACATCATTTGTTTTTGTTGTTGCAGTTGAATGTATTCCTTGCCTTTCAGCGTGCGCGATTTGATCAGAAGTTGACTAATTTATCCAAGCAGGAAGTTAATGGTGTGCCTTGAGTATTAAGTTAGTGCAAAGGAGCCTTTCCAAGGGGAGCCCCAGTGGTGGGATACCTGGTTCCAGGTCAGAGGTTTGGAGGCAGCCCCTCCACCCTGCTTCCTACATCGCGTGCTGAAAACTCCCCGAATTCTCTTACCACACGCAAAACTAAGTTATTTAAACTTAAGAGTAGTTCTGTCCCATGCTGACAGCGTGGTCTACACCTCTGCAGAACCAAGGCAACATAAATACTTGCAGATTTGTGTTGATTGTATGACGAGGTAAATAAACAACCCTGCTGCCTACTGGGGCCAGATAAAGTAAATGAGAAAACAAACAGCAGGGAGTGCGGCGGAGGGGAGCTCCCGCCCCAGGTCTCCCTCGGGAAGAGGAGGCCGCCGCTCCTCGTCTGCTCTGCACGTTTGGGAAACGGATCCCGGGTTGTGAGAACTTCGGATTTTCCACAGGACGCCAGAAACCCCAGCCTTCACTACAATGTCTCAATCTGAAATGTTGGCAACCCAATTCAAATGTTCAAAAGACATTTTGCAGACCAATCTTGGGAACCAAACCTAATACTTCTAGGAAGCCACGCAGCTCTAAGCTGCCAATTTGCAACTTGTGCGTTCAGTAGCGCGGGCAATATGAGAACGCACTTCCTGAGAAACTGATTCCCGGGAAGCCTGCAGTGGGCAAGGGCCCACGGGGCCCGCCGCGCTCAGACTCCGCGCTGCATTCCGCCCCGGTGAACCTCGTCTCGATTAACCTCGGTGCCGCGCCTGTGAAGTGGTCACGATGGTTAAGCACCGCAGCTGCAGGGCTGACTGGGGGACAGGAGAAAACGCCCGCCTAAACCCTTGGCCTTAAGCGGCTCTCAGGGTAAGCAGACCGAGTGACGCCTTCTCTTTATAATAATGAAATTAATTATTCCAGGGCCAGCCAAACCTCATGCAAATAACTTCATATTCCCAGATTCCTCAAGTTTCCCTGCACAAAAGCATTTGGACGTTTTCTATATGATGGGGTTATTGTTTTTTAATGTTACTAAGCATCCAGAACGAGCAATTGTGACCCATCCAGAGGGAATATGCTCAGCTTTTTAAATTACAGTCCTGACTCTGGGGCGGAGAACGAATCCCCTCCTTCTCCCACCCAAACAACCACCACACACACACACACACACACACACACACACCCCTTCCAAATCAAAGCGGTGTTGGCTCCAGGGTTTCAATCTGTAGCGAACTTTCCAACAATTTCAATCTTTCTTGAGCAGCCTGGCCTCTGGCCACATCCCTCCAGCTATCAAAGCTCTCTTCGTGCCACGTCCCTGAAACTCCCCACACTCTCTAAGTGTGACAACTTTCCTTCGCCAGCTCTGGCGGGGCTGTGTACAGAAGTCTCTAATTGCGCATTTATGATAAGGACGGAGTTCCCGGCCTCCCCACCCTCGACTTTCCCGGCGGGAAAACCTTCCTCCTCGCCCGACTCCGGGACCCGGCGGCTCCTGCAGCTGCCTCAACTCTGGGCGCCCGCACAGCCTCGGTCCAAGCCCGGCGCCCCCAGCCCCGTTTGTTCAGGGAGTAATTTCGGGGTCTCGTGGGTCGGGGCCGCGCGGGTG